CCCCCCGGCGTTCCGCGGTAAAAGCGCTTGCGACATATCGGTGATAAGATAGCTCTATGAACCGCGCCGCTGAACCCCGCTTCGCCTCGTTGGAAATACGGTCGGCATGTGGAATGGAGCGTGCAAACCAGTATAAGAAACTAAGTCATGCAGTATTTTCAGTGCCATCAAGAACAACACGCGCCAAAATCCGTGTCCTCCTTCACGCAATCTTGATATGCGTGGTTTTGCGGTGCCTCTTTCCCCCCGCTACTCACGCACCTCGTTGACGAGGCTGAGGAGGCTTGGTCTGCTGACCTGTGTCGTGCTCTCAACGGTATGGCTCGGCTGCACATACTGGCGCATCCATGACATGAGTGACCTGTCTCACAGCACGATGCTGGAACCGTGTAAGACGACCGTCCTATGCAGGGTCAACATTTCTGATTTATAACAGTCCCCAAGAAAATCTGGCAAATTTCGCACTTTGCGCCGGAAGAGAAGCCCTATTTCATCGATGACTACCAAGAGTTGTGGCAACTCATTCATCCAACCCACCAGTATCAATGCCTTACGGAGCAGAACGAGGACGACTTTGTGAGGCGTGCGTTTCACGAAAACGACTCTGCCCGCAAGATGTACTTCCTCATCAAGGACGACGCTATCTTACGAGCGGACTTCCTCCGATATCTAGTTCTTCTCGTCGAAGGGGGCGTTTACACGGATATGGATACTCGACCCATGCAACCAATCGATGTCTGGATCCCAGAGGAGTTCGCGAACCGGGCCAACATTGCTCTCGGCGTCGAGATCGATAAAGGCCAAGGCCGTTTGTGGAGGGATATGCCCTGGACGGTCCAGATGTCTCAGTTTACAATCATGGCCAAGCCGAATCACCCATTACTTCGCCACGTTGTGGACAGTGTAGGTGATAACGTCAGCCGATTTCTAGAAGAACACGGTACGAGTGGCAAACTGCCCCGGTTGTTTTTCGATGACGTCCTTGGCCTTACAGGACCACGTCTCTTCACGAATGCGGTTTTCCGTTATCTCTCAGAGCAAACTGGATTCGAGATGAACGGAGATGAGGTATCTGGTATTCGTGAGCCTACACTATTTGCAGACGTTTTGATTTTCCCAATCAATGGGTTTGCAAGTGGTCAACAGCATTCGAACTCTGGAACAGCGTTGGACAAGACGGCGTTAGTGTCGCATAGATGGATGTCGAGCTGGGTTCCTACACATCCGCGTCAAGCTTCCGAAAATTCTTATATTAGCTAGTCCCAAGCTGTCCGAGGGACCTCCGGCCGCGCTTTGGTTTCCTTCGCGAGCC